AAAAAATTGGAGGCAACGTTACAATCCGTTTAGCATTTTAAAATTAAACATTGCTCTCTAAAATTTAAAAGGTAGTTCGGTAGGCACTTTCATTTGCACGCATGAATTTAACCTGGAGAGGTTATTAACAACAACAACAACTACAACNATATTTTTATATATTATTTTAACAATCCTGGAAAATGTATATTTGCAATGACTACCTGGTATAACCTCTTGAGTTCCTTTTTTTCTCATATTTTGGTATATACTTTTTTTTCATGAACTTGCCTTTCCTCCATCCTCTTGAGACTCTATGTGCGTGGTATTATTTTTTTTTAGGTGGATTAGAAGGACCGTTATCCATTGTTTATCAATTAAATGATGTTAATGACATACAGATACTAAACACTATAGAGGTAGAGAGTAATAGCAGAAAGGCATGCTAACACGACATATATATATATACCATATACCTATATATTACATCGCTATACTACACTAACACAGGTGGTGTACCACTGTACCCTCGTATGCACTAGACTGGTCAAAACAATAATTAATTTTTCGTACAAAGTTAAACTACACACATAAATATCATTTTTCCCACTTCATACGTTATTAAAAATATCACAATGATTTTCAGACACATTTGTGTATTGAAAAACAAAACTTTATTTTTTGTTTGTCTTTGACCTGAGCAGTAGTCGTAGGAGCCCCCTTAATACACAAGTGATTTGAAATTTAACTATCTTAAATTAGAATGGATTACGGTAAGAGTACATCTGAAAAATCAAGGGCCCTGATGAATGAAGCGTCTCACTCATACATCGAATCCATGTATCCTAAAAAAACAAGAAAAATCCACAAAGATTAATTATCTTTCAAATAATAATACATTTTTAAAATTGGTAGTAAAAAGACAACTTATCTGATTTGGCTCCGTTGTAGAATCGATTGAAAAAAAACTACTTTCCACCGTCAGCCAAAAAATTAATTCAACCCGTAGAGAAGCAACATACACAGAATTCAACAGTGTCCCCATCAGCAATCCCAGCTTACACATTTGTTAAAAATGGCACGACGAAGATTACAATACTGCGGATTTAAAAAATTGGAGGCAACGTTACAATCCGTTTAGCACTTTAAAATTAAACATTGCTCTCCAAAATGTAAAAGATAGTTCGGTAGGCACTTTCATTTGCGATCGTGAATTTAACCTGGAGAGGTTATTAGTAAGAACAACGACAACAACAATACCTGGTATTTATCATTTTTTTCATAAGTGACCTCAGATTCTCCTCAAGTTTTTCTGAATCCGTTGTATTACTTCGCTGAGAAAAGGAAGAACTATTCAAAGCTAATCTGCAAAGTGAAAGACTGTCGAGACGCTGTAACGTAAAAGTTTTTCTGACATCATACACCGATTGTCAACATGAAAAAATTATGCGACAGTTTTTATACTATGTGTGTTCAACAAACAAATGCTCGATGTTGACAAACGGTGTATGATGTCAAAAAGTTTTCACGTTACAGCGTGTCGACAGTCTTTTAATTTGTAGATTAGCTTTGAATAGTTCTTCCTTTTCTAAGCCAAGTAATACAACGGATTCAGAAAAACTTGTGGAGAATCTGAGGTCACTTATAAAGAAAAATGATAATTCCCAGGTATTGTTGTTGTAGTTATTCTTGATGATAACCTCTCTAGGTTAAATTAACGAGTGCAAATGAAAGTGTCTGCCGAACTATCTTTTACATTTTGGAGAGCAATGTTTAATTTTAAAGTGCTAAACGGATTCTAACGTTGCCTCCAATTTTTTAAATCCGCAGTCTTGTAATCTCCATCGTGCCATTTTCAACAAATGTGTAAGCTGGGATTGCTGATGTGGACACTGTTAAGTTTTGTGTATGTTGCTCCTCTACGGGTTGAATTAATTTTTTGGCTGACGGTGGAAAGCAGTTTTTTTTCAATTGACTCTACAACGGAGCCAAATCAGATAAGTTGTCTTTTTGCTACCAATTTTAAAAATGTATTATTATTCGAAAGATAATTGATCTTTGTGAATTTTTCTTGTTTTTTTAGGATACACGGATTCGATGTATAAGTGAGACGCTTCATTCATCAGGGCCCTTGATTTTTCAGATGTACTCTTACCGTAATCCATTCTAATTTAAGATAGTTAAATTTCAAATCACTTGAGTATTAAATCTGTATGTTTTTTATTGTCTATGTAAAAAAATGTACTTCATTTACTTATAAGTAATAAATGATAGCAAGAACTTCTTGTTAAAAAAAAACCCTCCTTTATTAATAAGATAAAAACACCAAAAATTTGACAAATGTTTTTCTAAAATTTGTCAATGTAAAACTATGTCAAAAATGATTGTAGAGAAAATTTCAATTTTCTTCTTAATTGTATACAGTAAAGTTTAAAAAAATTTTATTTCAACTTTCTCTTAACGTTTTTAAAGATTTGTTCTTGATTCACATATGATAGCCACGTTTTACAAAAATTAAATATCACTTGATATAAAGTTTGTGAAAAGTCTTTTTTTTTGGTTTGGGAAAACTGTGGGAATGGGTCATAGGAGATCTTTGAAAAAACTTTTTTTCCAACTAAACTTTAAAGAAAGTGTTTTAAAACATGTTTTTTGTTACGCGGGACAGTAGTATAATATATTATATTAGGTACGGGCGCTCTGCCTTTCTCTTTTTCTCCTGAAATCTCCAAACAGCACGAAAGTTTAAAATTGAGATTAGATTAAAAATTCGAAAAATGTAAGAAGTAGCAGTCAAAATAACGTAATAAAACTTGCTAAGGTTAGTCTTACAATGCCACAGCGTTAAAAAAAATGAAGACAGCTGGATAGTTGGTGGTACTTTCAATGATAAGTCAGCTCTGTAACTACAAGTTATTTTGCAATGCGTTAAACGATAAAGAAAATTATTTATCAACCAAAAAAGTTCGGTAGTAACTGCTTAAGATTTAAAGATCAAGTGCAACATTCTTAATTGGGAAGACTGTTATTTCTTTCACGTATAGCATTGAAATTAATCATATAAGACGTTTAAAGAGTTTAGACTATTTAAAACATAGCCTGCTTTGAATTTTAGCTCATTTATGTACATATAAGACGAGAATCCACCAAGTACAATCTTCAAGTGTAATATATATTTGTAAGAGAGAGTGTAAAATGTAAAAGATCACTAGAGATGCACTAACTAACGCCAACCATACGTTCCTCCAAACGTATGTTGCCTCTGTCTAGGAAGACTAGTTAGGTTCCAACCCTTTAGCAGGTAGCCTACTTGAGTTTTTCTATTTGAAATACATACGTAAAAGGGTGCAGTGCCATGGTACGAAATAGAGCTCCACAATATACTGTTGGCAATAGAAATATCTAATCAGAGCTATTGTGGACGTTTCTATTTCGGAGAGGCAAAGTTCACTACGGTCCCATGAGCAGGAAAGATTGATGCGTAATTCATTCAGGCCCGTGAGTGTGAGTAAAAGGTTCGGAGTATCTCTTTCTCACTCGCACTCACGGGCCTAAATGAGTCACGCATCGGTCTTTCCTGCACATAAGACCATAGCGAACTTTGTCTCTCCAAAATAGAAAAACATAACCAGCTGATCGAAGGTGATTGTTTATTTTTGTTGGTACGTTTTTGGAGCTCAGTGTGAAAAGTCTGACATGAAAATCAGTATGCTACAGAAAACCATTCTAACTTTGGCAGCCATTTATGTTAAAAGATCCATCTTCTTTCAAAAAGACAATATCCGTCAAAACATACTGAAGCAAGTTATAATATATAAAAAAATGATGCGAAGAAAAGCCAACATGTAGATGTTGGACCTATTTATATGGTGCAGAAACGATTTTTGTAAGGGGATACTGATAATTTGATGCCCCTGCTCTAAAGTACTAGTCCTAGTTTGTTTTTTAATTACTTCATAATGGACACACATTTTGAAAGTGACTATATTGTTGTTAGGTGATTAATTTTATTTTAGATTTGTTCAAACTCCTTTTGGTTGGATCCAATTCTCTTAGCAAAGTAATACTTTACATAACCTCAAAGCTTCCTGACAGTTGCATGCGAAAATATAAAAACGTCTGCAACCTTCAAAAGCTTGATCGTCCACAATAGCTTGAACGTCCGCAATAGCTCTGATTGGCTGCTTCTATTGTGGACAGTTTATTGCGTGTGCAGGATAGCCCTATTGCGCGGCACAATATGTCTATTCTGCAGCGCAATAGACTGAGCACAGCCGCTTATGAGGACAATTCTATCCTGCACGCTCTATTGCGCTCCATGTGATTGCAGCCTAAATGTGACGTTACCAAGCGTCGCATGAATTTGAAAGTTAAATTAAACGAGAAATTTTTTCATTTAAGTAGAATATTTAAAAAATCGTGTAAGTAAAATACAAAATTGTATGGAATGGAAGGGCAAAGGTACGTGTGATAAGTTTGTATAAATATAGCATAGTGAATGAACATCAATAAAAGTTTTTTTTTAAATAAGACAATATTATTTATCAGTTACTAAAAAAGTACATATTTCAAAAAATAAGTTTGTTTGTAAAAACCTTATAAAAGATTTGCTTCTTTCTTGTGTTAAGCGACCCTTTGTTACTTAAAATTTACACTACTATTGCTTAGGAACAGTCATTTGTAATTGATGTCCTTCATAAAATGCTTCTTCTTTGCCAAAAAAATTTGAAAATAATCGTATAAAATCGTAACAGTTGTTTCGCAGTCAATTAATAGGATTTAACATAAGTAGTCAGTAAACGTAAGTGTTGCTGGCATGTTTCTACTATGAATCAGCGGCATTGTGCAATATGAGTCGTAAATGTTATATTAAATGCTTGTACCAATTTATTAAGACATCGATAAAAATAATAATGTTCTACTTTATCAAAAATGTTGCACATAATAAAGTTTACCGTTTATCTTGAGAATTAAGGCCTCTACGCACTTATTTTATCTAAGTGACTTATTTCTTTACTCACCGAACTTCGTGGCCCACCACGACGGTCCAGCCTCGCCGTCTTCGTCTATCCTTGCGTCGTTGCTGCTCGAATAAATCTAACCTCTCCATTGTTGTTTTATTCTTCATACACTCATTTAATTATTAATTAACAAATGTACATATTAAAAAACTTGTGGCTAATAAACTGTAGCTTGTTAAGCACCTCTAAAAAAAAGTTTTGAAGAAATCAATAAGAAAAGGTACGTAATAAGATTTTTTAGATGATTACTCAACTTATTTAATGAGTAATAATTTATGTGTACAGAATTTTTCACTTGAGACAACTATAAAAAATTTTGCTAACCATTTTTTTAAATCCCAGACACAGTCTCAATAAAATACTCTACTTTTGCAACGTAAGTTTATCTGCTTTAGAAATAAAATTTTGAACAACAGTAGTCATGTCGTTCAAATAAGTAAAGATAATTAAAGCAATGAAAATAACGCATTACCACTTCTATACTTAGTTTTTTACTTGACCATTTTCGTTGTGAAAATAACTTAGAAAAACTGATTTTGTGTAGCGCATTTTAGACTTGCAAACATTTTGGAAAATCTGTTGGTAAGTGTATGATTTTTTTCTAATACTTTCTTGGCTTGCCAGACTCTGCAATCATTATTGCAATGAGCTTCTCTTGGCAATGACATGAGTTTTGTCGCCTTTTCCATTTTTGTACACCGTATAATGTCTTTTTCATGTTTTATACTACACCATGTATGTACTTTTACCTGCAAATATTACCATCTGTTCTTTGTTGAACAAAAAAGTTAGTCATCTGCAAAACAATTTTAGAACACACTGCTGAGCCTAAGTCTAGTAGTGGCTGCTTTTAAATGGAAACTTTCTTGGTCTATCAGTGAAAATTATCGCAAATCCTAATGAATTTTCCATCAGTTCATCACCAATTTCATACTCTAATCACAGCAAGGTGTTTTCCATTGATGCAGTAAATAATTACTCATGCATAACTATTTCTAATAATTAAACGCATCTGATGTGTAAACATCACAGGATATTTTTGTGGCTTGAACAGGTAAACTTCGTCTAGTTGTCCGTTGTTAAGGTATGTGTATGTAATGATTATAGAATGCTATTGGAAATACGGATCCATACCATGAACCAAATCATTTTATCCATTTGCAATACCATCAACACACGATCTGGCAGAGTATTGATTGTAAAATTTGAATCTTAGACAGGTACTAGCAGCAGATATTTACATGAAGTAAATACCTACTACACAGTTGTTAATGGTAACACATGAGCATGTGCTGTTATAATTATAATTAAGAGTTGAACCAACAGAAATTTAAGGAGATTCCGTCTGATAGTTTGCAAGTATCAGCATCATTAGTAGGTAACATCCTGAACCCAATAACCTAATCCATGCGTTGTATTTTATCTTAATCAAAAAACCAATGTCATTAAAAAAAAGTGATTTGACACTTTTTTAGACTTACGTTAGAGCACGCTTAACATGCTAAAGTAAACCAGAAGCGTGTAAACGAAACGAAGTGTTCTGAGACTACGTTCACTGTTATTTGTAACAAGCAAATTATGCGATGATAAAAAATGTGTTAAAAGTTAGTATTATAGAAAAACAATAGTCTCAAATATCTTGACTTGCATGTACGGTAAAACAAGCACTTCTTGTGTATTACTTGTATACACATAGTAAAGCGCAGTGCTTTTGCTTCGAAAGATCACAGCTTGAGGCCACCGAGGACCGAACTGAATTTTACGCATTGTATTTATAGAGAGCGGGCACTGCGACGGGAGAGTAAGAAAATAAGCGCAAAATTATTTTGAAACTGGTAACCCTCTTTCTCTCTCTCTTTTTTTTAACTCTCACATAAGCGTACCCTTACGGGTCGTGCTGCTTAGACTCTCTTCTGATCTTAAAGAATATCGTACTGGACCCAACTTCTTTCCACTTTTATTGTTTCTACTTATGGATCGTAGCAATAGTTTTGTGTCATGTTATGCACTACCTACCTTAGGCAGACCTTACTGTTCTTAAGTGTCTTTCTCTCAATTGAAATCTTTAGTGCTGTTGCTACCGGAGCAGCTGCTACTCTCCACAGGCTTTGCTCTTTGACAACGTACTTGTATGCGTTTTGTTTAGAAAATTTTGCCGTCACTTTGTTATAAAAATTTTTGTCAACGTTGCAGGATATATTTTTAGTCTATTCTTTAAAAATAAGTAGTGCCCCAGAACTGGTTATGAAAATGTATTCATTTTCCTCTTTTACTTTGTAGGGGTGGTGATACTTAGGTTTACATCCACGCAAAAAAAAGCATTTATATTATACTTGTCTGATGGTACTGTCTTTACATAATAGTTGTTTTTATTTTTTAAAAACTAATTATTTAAGTAACTACTATTAAAAACTTCCGTCAGTATGGCTCGATAATAATTAATTTTGATTTTCTGTTTTCATCATTGAGTAAGAAACATTGATATTATTCATTTTTTATGCTCAGCCTGCAGCTGTGGCCCTTTGTTAAAGTTGAAATTAATATATAATTTGTAAAAGATCAAATCATCTATTAAATATACATAATCTTAAAAACCATAGACATTTATAGGTCAAATCACAACATATTTAGTATAATATTTTACCAGTTACACTAATATTCTGACAAAACCAGATATTCTTATGTCGGTAGCCTGTGGTCTTAAAAAAATTTTTTTTTTTAGAGATAATCTTGTTTACATACAATAATTTCTGACTTTTTAATGAGCTATTTTCAATTATGTTGTAACGTAAAACAGTACAGTATTCAAAAACAGCAAAGCATGTACATAACTTTTTAAAGATATTTAACCATGGCGGAAAAAATACAGATTCTAGTAAAAGAGTGATTTAGCTACTGTCAATTCTTACGCACGAATTTATTTAACTAAGTTAACGACATCTCGATCGGAAATCGTACCTTGGCTGTATTGGAGGCCTAGCTAGTAGTGCATTATGCCTAGCTAGGTCCCCATTACCGTCAAGGTACGATTTCCGATCGGGATATTTATTACACAATCTATTGTTAATAATGTTAAATTAATCTGATGAATAGTAAGACTACTCGAGCAACAGCAAGTGAGTCTGATATATTATATTTAAGACAGTTTAAATGTATATGCTGGTACATTAAGTAAAGCTTAGACGTCAAGCGGATATTTGTACATACGGATATTCCACATTAACTGGAATAGAAAAAAATAGATTTTTCTGAAACTTTGCAAAAAAGTGTGTCTTACGGTAAGAAAAACTAATTTCCCAAGTTTCAGAACCCACGTCACAATGCATTTTTGTCACGGGTGGTCAAAAATGAGCATTTTTTCAGTATAAGTATTACGAAAAAAATTATTTTTAATTTTAAAAGGTTGTTTTCACCTTATTTTTAGGCATTGAAAGGTCGAAAACTGAAATTTTGCAAAGTGTGACATTTTTTTCAATGTTAACTTTTTTTTTTAATGCGTATGGTTTACCTTCTCGAAGAATTTGTACCAAACGCAACTTTCCGGGGCTTCAGGCCGTATGTCATTGAAGCCCAGTATAGCTCGGTGCCACTGCCAATGAAGTCGTTGAATAACATTTACGTATGTAGTTACACTGGGTGGTATACAATAGTTTTATATGGTTACACTGAGCTGTATACTAGGCTTTATACCTTTAGGCTTCACCAACAGACAGCCTAAAGGTATCGTTTAACATGAAACTTTTGATCATTATGGCAAACCCTGATGAACAACGGTCTGGTCACTAGAAGGCTCTAAATGAAAAAATTTCATGTTTTATCGAATGAATTCAAAAAAATTTTCTGCAAAAAATTTTATATGAAAGGATTATTATGTTTAATACATTTTTTTGTGTTGTCAGTATAAAGAATTCAAAATTGGCAGATCCAAGAGAATCGGCTTTCATTTTTTAATGTTAGGATTTTTTAAATTAAAAATTTTATTTCACATAGAATGCATTATCTTTGGATCTTGTCCTTAGTTTTTCACAACAATGATGTCGTAATGTAATAAAAAAAGTGCTCTTTACTGTAACGACGTCATGAAACACAATTTCTGATAAAAGCGTAGAAAAAATGAGTCATAAAGTTGTATTTTTATTTCTAAGTGAGAACAATTATAAGTGTAATTAGTTCTTAAACCATTGAATGCATTTAATAAAAAAAAAGCATTTTTTTACAGTTTTAACTATTTGAATGATTAGTTTTTTTTGATTAGCTAAAATGATAAGAAAACTTGGTCATGGCTGTCTTTGTGTGGTTCGTCAATTTTAAATTAGGTTTTTTCATCAAAACATATGGCATTATATGCCAAGTAAAAGATCGAAATTTATCTTTGTAATTTAACAATTTCAACATCAGGTTCAAGCACAGTGTATTGAAATAGTTTTTTTCAATGTGGAAATTAAGCATGGTTTAGCGCAAAGAAAAATTACTACCACTATTATATTTTTAAAACCTCGTGAAGAACACAATGTAACTATTTTAAATCAAAAAATCCGAAAATTTAAAACTTTTCTCCATTATTTTGGATCTACCATTAAAAATTTATGGATTTTTCTAATGAAACGGAAATTATGTCTTATAATAAACAATTAATGAACAAAAAGTGTTCTAAGTAATTTTTTTATTAAATTATCGGTACGTGTAAAGTATATTACTCATGATTGTTATACTATGTAGTAGACTAAGGTCGTTACATTATTTTCAATAAAAAAATATGCATCCCGTACATAAATTACGAAAAAACCTTTTACTGCAACTAAAGCTCAAAACTCATATTATTTTTTTGACTAAAAAATTTTTACCGTGACATTTAAAATAAATGTCAGCTATTTTAGATCCACCACCTTAAAATTTGTTATTTTGGCTTCATAAACTAATACATCACGCATTATTGTTCTTTTGGACAAGTTTTTTCAGAAAATTTTCATGGATCTTTCCGATGACACGTAAAATTAGTCAATTTTTACAGTTAGGGCCTTTTAGGAGTCCTATTGTTCCGCACCAGCGCACCTCCTTCTGAGACAAAAACTTTTCCAATGAATAAAATATACACATTAAAAGAAAGAACTAGCAATTAAAAAAAAATATCATACATTGCCAAATTGTATTTTGTAGATTTTTAACGCCTAAAAAAGAGTGAAAATAACCCTCTAAACTTATTAAACATTTTTATCGTAATATACAAAGAAATTTCTAGAGAAAAACGTATGTGCCTTTTCTTTTTCTTTAATAGTTACCCATTAAATCAGCAAGGTTAGTTTTTTTTTAAG